CGGCCACCAACAAGGTCATCTGCTCCTCGCCCCTCTGCCCGGCCTACCGCAAGGAGGTGGTGGGCATGGTGGACGACCGGGTGTGCAAGAAGTGCCCCCCGCAGCGCCTCAGCCGCTTCCAGGAGGAGTGCCACAAGTACCGCACGCTGGTCATCAAGGGCGTCCGCGTCTTCGACCTGGCCGTCCTCGCCCCGCTCATGCAGGACCCGACCCTGGACCTCAAAGTCATCCACCTGGTGCGGGACCCCCGCGCTGTCGCCAGCTCCCGCATCAAGTCCCGGCACGGCCTCATCCGAGAGAGCCTGCAGGTGGTGAGGAGCAGGGACCCCCGCATCCACCGCATGCCTTTCCTTGACGCTGGCCACAAGTTGGGTGGGAAGAAGGAAGGTGGGGGTGGCTCGGACTACCATGCCCTGGGTGCCATGGAGGTGATCTGCAGCAGCATGGCCAAGACCCTGCAGACTGCCCTGCACCCCCCTGACTGGTTGCAGGGCAACTACATGGCCGTGCGCTACGAGGACCTGGTGGTCGAGCCCATCAAGACCCTGCGGCAGGTCTATGGTTTTGTCAACCTGGCAGTCAGCCCAGAGATGGAGAAGTTCGCCCTTAACATGACCAGTGGCCCTGGCTACTCCTCTAAGCCCTTCGTGGTGTCGGCCAGGAACGCCACCCAGGCACTGAGTGCCTGGAGGACTGCGCTCAGCTACCAGCAGATCAAGCAGGTTGAGGAGTATTGCCATCAGCCCATGGCCCTGCTGGGCTACGAGAGGGTCGGCAGCCCCGAAGAGGTGAAGGACCTCAGCAGAACGTTGCTCAGGAAGCCACGGCTGTGATGGGGCAGCGGGCGCCCCCGGCCGCCCTCGGGGGTGGCTGAGCTCTGCGGGGGAGAGGAGCTGCTCCGGCTGCCCTGAGTGAGGGAGGGAGCCGGGAAAAGCATCCTGGTTTCTGGTTTCCTCCAAAGACTGCTGAAGGGTAACATACAGTAATGTGATGATTTCTTTCTTTCTTTCTTTTTTTTTAACCCCCTCCCCCCCTACATTGGCTTAGATGTGATTAAAAAAATACAATAAAGTGGAACTGAATATATGTGTAAAGCCCCTTTCCCGTTCTCTAACATGCCAGACAGTGATTCTGTATCGAAATCTTGTTTATGGAGTTCGTGTGGGTTTGAAGATGGTAACAAAAACTCTTGCACAATTCCTAACGCATCTTTATCTCCCTTGGTGTGGAGGGGATGCCCTTGGAAAGCGTAACGCTTAAAAGCAGACTTTTGTATGAAAGCAGATGTTCAGACATGATGGTCATAAAAAAACCCAATAAATGATATTCATTTTTATAATTACCTCAGTTGTTTGGGAATTACAGCGTTGCTTATGTACAGATGGAGGGGATGCTTGCTTGAAATAGCAACGGGGACTTTTTTAAGGGTATGGGTGGAGGGCTGGAGTGCAACATTTGACACGTCCAGAGATCAGGAGCTGCTCTCGCAGAAACAACTACAGATCTCGTAAACGTCGTGCAGGTTTTATGGCTCTGTCAAAGCAGGTTTCTATTTAACTATTGTCTTTTTTTGGTTGTATTTAAAGAGTCTCTCGAGTGCCACTGTATTCGTGTCCAGGAGTTTTAGAACGTTTGCCATCACAGCAGTATTTATTTTTGTCTTGACATGTATGTCCGGGAGTCACTGTCAAATAGAAGTGGATCTACAGCGTGACAAGACGTGCAGGATTAAAAAGGACATTTATCATACTGGAATCTATAGCATGTGTGAAAACAAAAAATAAAAACTATGTATTCTGCAGTGCTAACAATGCACAAGAGATTTGAGATATTTCTTGACGTTGATTGGTAATAGGCATAACAGGGAAGCAGAGAAAAATGCGTACAAATGTTTTTCCCCTTTGTCACAGTGTCCACGGCTGTGTTCATGTACAAGGAGGGAGCAAATGCAGAGCCGTGTTTTCCTTGCTATAATGGAGCTTTTACGGAGTCAAGCGAGCGTTGGTTTCAGAGCTGGGTTGCTGGTTTGTTGTCAATTGTCATTGCTCTGTGGTGGAGCCAGGTGGTGGTCTGGCTCTTTCTGAGAGCTTTGCCTAGAGACTCTGGCCCGCTGTTTAAACTTGATTAAAAACAGTAATTATATATGTATATATTTTACTGCTATTGCTTCTTGAATTTCCCGAAAAAGTCCCAGTTTATTAAAGGTTGAGTGGTTTGTTGCATATGAGAAGTGCAGACACCCCAAGTAGTTTTTGATCTTGGCGTTCTCCGATGCTCTTTGAAGGCTCCTTTTGTAACTTGAGTTTTTAAACAAAATGTTTTTGCCAGACCGTTCTCTGAGGAGACTATAGCCTTTTCGACAGAAAGTACGTTTGACATTGCCTGTCTGGGTCTTGTGCCTTCAGCAAAAGCGAAGAGTGTGAGTAGGAAAAAGGAGACTGGTTTGTGAAAATAAATTGCTATGAACAGGGTGCTGTAAGCGTGTATGTGTGAGCACTAGTGATGTGTAATACGTCTGTTCCGTGTGTCAGTACTTCAGCTTGAACAGGTGATAACTGGCTGCTAAGCTGCTTGAGTTCCTGATGATTTTGGCAATAGATGTTGAACTTTGAAAAGGAAACTCATTTAATAAACTAGTTAAAAGGTTACTGCATAAGGTTGCATTACACACGTCTGTTCCCTCAGCTCATCAGTACAAACAACACAAAAATTACCGGGCAGTGGGAGATCTTATCCTTGGCCTGTTAGGAGGTATTCCCAAATTCCAGATAGCAGTGCTAAAAGTGGGAGGGAGAGTTTAAAATACAGATTAAGGTATTTGTGTTGTGGAATGAGGTGGTTTGTGATATCACTGTGTATTGATGCAGTGCTGAGTGGATTTCGGGTATCTGGGTTTGGGCTGTACCCTGTGATGGGGTTATTTTTGGTTATTGTGGTGGTTTTTTTTCCAGTTGGGGTGTCCTAGAGCAGTGAAAATCAGATCTGCTTACAGAGCATGTGGTTTGCCTTTTATCCATCCGCTGCTCCACCGCGCGGTCCTGTCCGGCTGCCTCCAACAGCGGCGCACGGGAGCGGGCTCTGCAGAGCAGGGCTGGACACCGCGCCGCAATTTCGGCTCCCGCTGTCTTCAGCATGGAACTTTACTGCGTTTTCTGAGTCGAGCTGTCTCATGGCAGCGTGTTAACGGTATAAGCCCTTTTGATTGTAGGGGCTGAGGCACAATCATTGGTGTGTGCAGAATTCCTTGGTCTCTTCTGAGAGTTTTCTGGGCGAGTAAAGTGAACAGGAATTAATTGCCTCTGGGAGCGTGAAATAGGTGAGCCCGATTGACTTAGCTTCCAAAAATCTGCTTTGGATTCTAATTATATTAAAAAGCTCATCCTGTTCTGAGAGAACACTCGCTGCTCTTCTAATAATGGTGCATTGCAAGCATCTGCTTCACTTTACTGATATGAAGAGAGTGCCAGGAGAGTTACAGCATCTGAATCTGGTCCATAATTTGAGCTCCACCTACTACATTGCAGCAAGGAATTGCCCAGCGTACTGCACAGTTTTACCTGGGCATGTTTTGGTGAACAGAAGAAGTAATGTGAAGCTTAACTTGTAAAAATAAAGAACTGCGATTTTGTTTGGGTAAAGCTTCAGGGGGAAGTGAATGGTGTGTAAAATGCTTGTGTAAAATGCTGGTGGGCTAAGCCCTACCTTTGATGCTGCTCCATTAAAAAAAATAAGTATGTGAACAACTGGCGGTTGAAAGAGGCCATTTTTAGTCCTTTTTTATATTCAGAAGAGAGGATTAGAGGCATTAAAAAAGCCATAGTTGAAAAAAAAGGGAAAAGTTTTAAATGTGGAAAATTACAGAGAAAAATAGGATCTCAGAAAGATGATGAACATGGTAACAAAGGACCTGTGCCTGTTGTGAGGAGGGACGTGTAGCTGAGGTCGGAATACTTAAATGATACTTGACTCTTATACTTAAAAATAGTGCCTGGTTTTGCTTTCTGCATGATTTAATAATTACAGTGTGTAAGAAACTGAAGCTAATGCTTGAAGTAGTGAAGAATCTATAGCATACGCGAGGTACAGGGAGCACTAAGTGGCACTGAACTGGGAGGGAGGCTCTCCTGAGGACTTGGCACGTGGTTTCAATGGAGGAGAAAGGCCGGTGCGCAGCCACGTGTTGTTTTGTGCTGTAAATAAACCCAGACGATTGGACAAGTATTGCAAAAGGTAATGATCATGAAAACACAGGAAACCCTTCTGTCTTCCACTGAGTCAACTTAAAACACAAGATGTCTAAACGTGTGCAAGTTGCTGCGGCTGACCCAAATGCTGACAATGAGAAGATGGTTCGATATCGTTGTCTTTTGGTCTTTCTAACAAAAGGAGGAAGTTCTTCATTTTTCTGATCACTTCATGATTTGTCAGGTGTTAAAGCTTCATGCCCTGACTGGAAAGAGGAACATAAATGACTTAATTCAAAACCACAAACCGTGTTTTTCAGTTACAATTTGAACTCAGGACTCTAGAGATGAAATACTGGTGGTTATAATAGATTCTGAAACAAGTATTTTTAAACCTGTAGGCCATGAGAAGCAGAGTGGCGTTATTCTTTAGTTCACCCTTTATTTCTAATGCTATGGTGTGTTTTAAGTGTTTTTGAAAGTGAAGGGCGTTCAGTATGAGCTATCACAGAATGTGAGGAGTTGACGGGACCTGGAAAGCTCCCCCAGTGCAACCCCTGCCAGAGCAGGATCACCAGAGCAGTCACACAGGAACACGGCCAGGGCTTTGGGTGTCTCCACACAAGGAGACTCCACAACCTCTCTGGGCAGCCTGGGCCATGCTCCATAACCCTCACACTGACAAAGTTTGTCCTCATGTTCAGCTTGAACCTCCTGTGCTCCAGCTTGGGACCATTGCCCCTTGTCCTGGCATTGGCCATCCCAGAGCAGAGCCTGGCTCCTTCCTCCTGACACTGCCCTTTCCCAATGGATCCCCAGGAATGAGGGCACCCCTCAGTCTCCTCTGCTCCAAGCTCAAGAGCCCCAGCTCCCTCAGCCGCTCCTCATAAAGGAGATGCTCCCTCCCTCTTTGTGGCTCTGTGCTGGACTCTTTCAAGCAATTCCCTGTCCCTCAGCTTTTGCACGCTGTAAGGGGTGGTCTTTGAGCCTGCGTTTCAGTTTTGCTCCTGGGCATCCCTTTACGTGCAGGCATGGGTCTCTTTGCAGTGGTGACTGTCAATTGTGTCAGATTGTGTGGTTGGTGCTGCTTTATATGAAAAGACTGAGCATCAGGCAAATGCTGCCTGTGTTACTTAATCAAATGGATCAAAAATGTTCTTATTCTAGTACCATTTCAATTAAGGGTCTTGTACCAGGGTAAATGTTACTCTGCTGGAATTATGCATATGAATAAGGGAAGTTGAATTTGGAGGCTCTAAGTGAGCATGAGACTGCTTGCCACTGATGTATCCAACTTTGATGGCCAGTGCTTTCCACTGGTTATACTGGCAGTCATTGGATGCAGTTTACATTTTGTGTCAAGAGTTCCTGAGCAAGATCTTATGAAAATGTGCCCATGTTCTAAAATAAAAACCAAACAAACAATGAGATAACATTTTGGCAATATTCATTGTGTTGCACACATTTAAAGTAAATAATAAGGTTCATCTGGTTTATCGGGTTCACTGGCCTCAAATTAGTTCTGTTAATGTGTTCAAGTAAGAGCTCTTGGCTGTCCTGACGTCCATGATTCTTCACATAAGTTATCAGTTCTGCAAAGAAAAATGCATGGATTCTGTATAACACAGACTGTCTTAACTTTGCAAGTTGGAAAATTTCCTTGTATTTATTTTTCTTTGAGGCTTGGGGTTCCCTGCATCATGAGATCATGAAAGGATCACAAGAATGGGCCTGCATGGCTGAGTGCTTAGTGTTTGGATCCATGCAAATCCAACGAGAATCAGTGTAAAACATAAGGTGTCCTGTCTTCCCTTCATGCATGAAGAGCCAGCGTTCCTCAGACACATCAGTACCATGAAAGCTATGCAAAGAGAGTTCATAATTTAAATGGCGTTGCAAATGGGAGAACTAGGATTAAAGAATTATCTGCTTCTGCAGTGAAACACAAAGCTGTAAAATGCACGTAAAAATGGCATATTCCTTCACAGAAGCAAGTTCTGTAGTGAGGGACTCATTTACGTCCACTGATGTGGGTGAGATCCCTGGTGTTCACTTCAATGTCTGACATAAAA